ATATTTTCTCAGTGCCCAGAACAGTGCCTGGCCCTTTGTCAGATCAATAAAGAATGAACAGCCATCATTTCCATATAGGACTTAGGAAAATAGAACCTGATCAATTTTTAATATTTCATTTTATTCTAATCTTCTTATGTGATTCTGGTGACACTATACGCTTCCTCAATTTTAACTGTGACCTGGATATTTGTAAGGAACCTGTATCCAAAGGGACATCACACATTTGAAAGAAGCTTTCCTTTATGAATAAAATGCACTGATTAATTGTCAGCTAAGCATATGGAGCAGTTTTCTTTGTCCAAACACAGTTTGAAAGTAAAACTACATAACTATCCTTCAATGATATTGCTACATGCATTGAGAGCTGAATGTCGGCAGCATTTAGCTTCATGGACTAAAAACTGGAAGAGCCTCTAAGCCACCCTAGAATTACTTTCAAGGAGCCTTTTCTTTTTTCTTTTTGTTTGTATAACTCCTTACCTTGCTTAGAATGGGATCCGATTTTTTAAGTTCACCTGCTTTGCTAAGACTAAGGTAAACCTGCTGGACATGAGTTTTATAATCTATAAGATGGAGTGCCTTGACTTGATTAACTTCTCATTTTAGTTGGAACCCAGCATCAACAGAATGCATACACCTGCCATCATGTACCTCCCCATCCCCAATTTCATAGATGAGGAAGTAGAGGCACAAAATTAAAGAACAACTTTCTTAAGCTCATTAATGGCAGAGCTGACAATGAGCCCATATCTAGCCTTTTCCATTCCCATCTACTTTCAATACATCTTGGATTGAAATACTTCCTAGGAATCCTGAGGATGAAGGAACTATCTTTGCCAGCAGCATTTCTGCAACCTTTCTGACATGGGCAATAGTGAAACAGTACACTCTGTGCTCTGTGTGACCTAGAACACACACTCAAGTACATGAAAAAAAAGATTTCACAAAACACCTTGCTCTACATAAGACACTGATATTTTTCATTCTAGTCAGGCATATTCTATTTGATCAATTCTACACATGAGCCACTAAATTGATCTGGAACCAATAGTAGATCAGAAACAATAGCGATAAACTCTCTTTTTAAACAGCAAAGATCCTTTTGAAATGAATATCTAGAAAACATGTGTTTACAGCAATGATTCTTAACCAATATATGGCATAAATTTTTCAAACATGAAATATCTAACTATTTAGTCAGGGTCACTGAGCTCTTTTCCCTTAGACTGTCAAATAAAACATGACAACAGCCAATGTAGCAATAGCTGTGTGATGTGAATGAATCAAAATTATACTTTTTTTTCAGATTGGTAAAAAAAAAAAAGTAATATATTTTTTGAGTGTGCTGAAGAATTTTGGTAATTAGTTTGTGTGTGCCATGAGATGAAAAAGGTTGAAAATTGCTGGTCTGTAGCATAGACAGGATGTATTACAACAGCACCTTGACCTCTACCTGTCCCTCATCAGCCTGAGAGGGAGGGAGAAAGAGTGAGAGCTTGAAAGGAAACATTAAAAATACATGTTAGATTTCAAAGGACAAGTTAGATGTCTTTAACATTTAGCTTTTACATTTGGATAAAAATCCCCCAGCCGAGTTTCTTTTTTTAAATTTGAGAAATTTCAAAATTGGTAACATGAACAATATAGAGAAAAATCCTATCTGTATAAAGAAAATCCTATCTGGAGTTGTATGCATTGTGTTGGGAGTTGACATTTAAAACCCATTAACTGAGTAACGCATAGAAAGCTTTTCCATTTCTTACAAATGTTACTTCAAATCACAGCAGGCATAGGAAATAGTTCATCTCAACTAGATCATGAATTTTCATATAATAAGAAGCTGTGAAAAACAAAAATAATACAAATGCGTGGATAAATATTTGCGAGGTGCCTGGGTCTTTTCATAAATAATTTCTACTCCACAAATGGTCTTCTTTTATGCTCTAGGAGCCCCCACAGAAAGCCTTCTAGGCAATCTGTCCTCCTTTTCATTGCCTTTCCGCCCTAAGTTTCTAAGCTTTTCTCACCCCATACGGATGCCTTTATGTTTTCTAATTCTCCGCTGCCAGTCCCACTGCTTTCCTTCTAGTCAACATCATGGTCTTCTCTTATTTAGTTTTCCTCCTTGTGCCTTGCACCTCCTTCTGAGAGTTGGTTATACTGCAATCATTCTGGAATACTCCAGAGGGAGCTCCTCTCTCTTTGGTACCTGCCTTATAAAAATGCTGCTGGGGAAGCCAGGATCTGCCAGAGTAGCCTGCAGAAGAAGCCCCCCAGAAGGATCCCCAGGCTAGAAGGCATCCCTTCCAGCACGTTGAATGCCAGATTAGTCATGCCTACCTTCATGACATGTTTTGAGCAGCTAAATGCGACTTCACCTAAACCCAGCATGCCCACTGAAATTTTGAATAAATTCAATCATTTTTAATAAATTTTGTTTTTATTTATCCAGTTAAGCTGGTTTTTTTTTTTTTACAACTTAAATATTTTTAGACTGATATGATTAGCAGCTTATTTCTTCCCAGTCAATCCACAAAACCCATTTCAGCCAAGCCCCTGATCCAATTTCTCTTTATAACAAACTTTTCCAAGTGAAGTGAGCAAAATGAAAACCAAATGCAAATCTCACATAAAGCTTTTAATAATAATATATACAAAAATAATGACAATAATACCAATAAGAGTGGTTAATATTTCGTGAGGATTTATTATATAGTAGCAATAAGTTAAGGCAGGGGTGCTCAAATGATGCTGCAAATTTATTTTTCAAAACTGATGTGCATGCCACACTTATATCAATTAAATTCTTCTACCACCAGAATGTCTTAGGTGGAGAACAGGCATCAACATTTTTTTAAAGTTTTCCAGATCTCTTTCCCTTAGATTGTCGAATAGAAAACATGACAACAGCCAATGCGGCAATAGCCGTGTGATGTTGCAGGAACAGATACATTTAAGAACTCCTCTGCTAAAGGTTTGCTAGTGAATTGTTTCATTTAATTCTTATAGCAATGATATAAAATACTCATTTATCATCATCATTATCATTATTACGAGTAATAGTATCATGACTTCACCAATGAGGAAGAAATCTGAGATTCAGGAAGGTCACACATAATATGCCACAGAACCCAGCTTGGAAAATAGGACAGTCTATTGAGGTTCTTGAAAACCAGCAAGAAATCGAAAAGGGGGAAGACCCAAGCACATGGAAAATCCACAGAGAAAGCAATCTTTGGTGGAAAAGCAGCAAAAGCCAGAGTATTCTGAGTGTCTAAGGCTGTCCTCAAGAGATGTATTTTAGGATCTAATAGCAGTTTATCAGCTGTGCACAGCTCTGCTCATTTGTCATCATTCCATAGCCATTTATCAAACCGCATCCATACATGAAGCACCACCGGTAGGCATGCCGGGGGCTGCAATTAAAAAGACTCAAGCCTGAGAAACTCTCCGTGTGGCTGAGGAACTTACTTGGACTCATGATGCCTGGGGCTATGGGTAGGGGAATAAAGTGTAGGCAACCGTCTTGAACAAATATTGAGAATGAAACTTCAAGTCAGGCCAATAAACTTGAATTAAAAGGCAAACTTTATTACAATGTTACCAATATAGCTCTAACAGGCTTACAAGAAACTTGGCTGAAATATTGTTGGGAGAAGAAGAAAAAAATATTCTTTCCTGCACTACAAACTGTGAACAATTTTGAATCATCAACAAACCATTAATGTTACAAAATTGAAAAACTAAACTACTGAAATTCCAGAGATGAATGTAAGCAATATACTGCTTTCACATGAAACACCAATAGTAACTTCCTTGAAAATAACTTTGATTTTTCATTCTTTTTCTTTCTCACATTTTCCTATAGATAATTGTTAACCCCTTTCAGCGATGAAAGTAGTATTTGGGTCCTTATTCTATGGCAAAATTTGTAAGTAAAGGCTGCACTGTTATGTATCTGAAGAATAATAATTACAGGTAACTTTTTTGTCTTCCTGCATTGCCAGAGATAAAATATAATAACAATACTCTTTGATTTCAAAGAAACTACTTTGACTTTTAAAGAATAAAACAAAAGTTGCCGGCAGATACTCAAATGGAAAATTGCTAGTTTTATGTCAGTTTCCATGAAAGAGGCAAAAGCTACTGAATGGCACCTGTACTTCCCTATTTGCCAATACTCTCTGTGCTAGAAAAGATGTATTTAAAGAACTAAAATTGGGTTTAGGGGGGGGATGAATTGTAATGGATGGAAGCTTTACTTGGGATAGTGAACACATGCAGTGTAAGGGTGATGTGTTGTAGTACTATGCACCCAAAACCTGTATCACTTTGTTAACCAGTGACACCCCAATTCAATGGTAAATCAACATAATATGCCATACCCTAACAGATAATCTATGTTAAAAAAAAAAAAAAGTACGTCCCATATTCAGCATGCTTACACAACCTTCAAAAAAATAAAGTGCATTGAATATTCCTTCAGTAAGTTTTTCACACCAAAACAAACTGACATTCCACACCACTGCTCCCAAGTCTGCTGGTCTTTACCAGTAACTGTGCAGAAAGAACTCGTACAGCCTTTGGGCTCAACTGATGAAATGATTTCAACTGCAAAGCATTTGAGGTACCAGGTCTAGTTTATCCTGTGTCAAAGATACTATTCCTTCTGCTTAGGAGGTTTAAGAAGTTTTGCAGGCAATTTGAAACACCTTTCAGCTATTTAGAATTCCTCAGTAACGTTAGCATTTTTATTTTATTCAAACAAAAATAAAGAAGAGCCCCCATAGACAACTGCCTATATATTTGCTCAATGTTTCTGTTTTTTAACAAAAGTGAAAGTGTTGAGGGCATGGCTTCTGGAACGATCAACTGCTTTATTGTGTTTTACAACGTCTACAACAGAGGAACTTTTAATTGGGGCAATTAATTGACACTATGACACAGCTAAGTAATCAAGGCGGCATCTGGTGCGGGCACAACGCTCCGCTTCCTACCTTGGGCGCTTTGGCGTGTTTCCCACATCTGGCATCCTTGACAAGGCTGAGATCTAACAGCTCCGTCTCCTGGAAGGCAAAGATGTGAAACTGTTAAGCATCCACATAGATCTCTTTGTTTTCTTTTCTTTGTTTGATCTCTTTTCATTTACAACACTTTAAAAAAATAATATCCTGAGACCTGCCTGAAGATTTCTCAGCAGTTGGGATATTTGTTTCTCTTATACTAATAATTTATTGAATTGCAATGGAAACAAAAAGATAGCAAACTTCTAACTACTCAGGTTACTATACTATATTCTAATACATGTTGTGGGTATAATGATGTGTGGTGTAAGCCCCTAATCTATTGTGTAAGGCATTCCTGAGTCCTGATGAATCCAGCCTTTCTGTTATCCTGTTGAAAAAGAATCCTAAGAGTCACTCTGGGTGTAAGTGAGACTACGTGAGTGGGAAAGGATAAAATATGATGCTCCTCCCAACAGCTCACAGAATACCCAGCTCACCTGGCCAAGGTACACGAAATGAATCTGCTTCCCCTAGCCACCTCTACTCAAGCCTTTTGCACACATACCTGATACCTTGATCTTTTCCTTTATTATACGTTTTTAAGACGTATAATATACAAGTTACTCTGAAATACAAGACATAATATATGGTTGCTTCTCTGGATGGACTTGCCATCAAATAGAAGACTAAGAAGTGCATTTTCTGAAGATCAAGGAGAAAGTGTCAATGCCAATTTAAAGTTTACTGCTATGGAGGTCAGCAGAGCAAAGAGTTTTCCCCTATTAGCTCAGAGAAAAGTCCCTGAGGAGTGACTGAGCATGGAGAAGGGAGGTGGGGAGAGAGGGGTCTTATTTCAGTTGGAGGGTACAACATCAGCAAAGATCCAGAAAAGGAAGCACCAGAAGTTTGAGTGAAACCATGAGGTATCCATGATCTTTATAAACACTTAGAGAAGGAGAACACTGTAGGTGAAAGGGGTAGGGAGGAGGAAAAAAACTGGGAGACATCCAGGAGTAAGAAACAGTAAGAGGAAAGGCATAATGGCAGCACAAAAGGGGACTGGCCTGGGCAACATACAGTATTCCATTGCTGGGGCCCTGACCATGTGGAGAAAAGTCTCAGGAGATGACACAGAGAGATGCGACAGCACACCTCTCCGAGAGCTGAAAGGAGGACAAGAACCAGTGTCCTCTCTTCTTTTGCTCTAGTCTGTTTTTCCCCCATTTTTTTTTTTTTATTCTTTAACCGATTCCCATTTGTGTGCGATTCTGTGGGAATCCTCCCAAACCCCAAGGTGTGACAGGCAATAAGCCAGCAAGGTATTTGCAGGATAAAATAACGGATGCCATGGTTCCCCTAAGGCCACGCCATCCACAATATTAAAAATCACCTTATAAATGTTAGAAAACAAGAGTATCAACCACCGGACTCAAGGCTTCACTTAAGCAAATGTATAACAAAGTCCTCAGACATGAGGAAATGTTGCTTCTGCCCCAGGTCCTTACCTCCACAGCGACATCAACCAAAACATTTGTTGGAAGAGGAGAAATACGAGCTAAGCTTGAAGACCACGCTGAGTGGCAATTTGAGAAAGGAGAGAGCACCAAGGGTGGAGTGGTTGGAAGAAAGATGAGAGTGATAGTATGGAGGTAACACTAATGGAAGAAAATAGAGGAGTCATAAACAACTCTGGAATTTCCATCTTCCTCACTGGGACTCAAAACTTTGGGCAAAATAGTGCATTATGGAGATGTGTGTTTGAGGGCCTGGTCCCTCAAACCAACTGAATGTTGCAGTATGTCAGGTGCAGGCTAGGTATCCAATCTATAAGAATTAGAAGAAGTTTTGCAGCCTTTCTCTCTCTCTCTCTCTCTCTCTCTCTCTCTCTCTCTCTCTCTCTCTCTCTCTCTCACCCCCCCCCACACACACACACAGAGAACTAAAACCTGTGTTGAGATGCCCATGCAAAAAACCAATTCTTATACTCTACAGGAGACATCTCAAAGTGTCCTGCAGACATGGGACATGAACAGCTACGGCATCTTTTCAGCCAATCTATAAGAATTAGAAGTTTTGCAGCCTTACAATTCTGTGTTTGGGATGGAGATGTCTAAGGAGAGGAAAGAGCAGGTACAAATACTGAGAGGTTACAAGTCACTCAGGATACCCAGCCTAGATGCCTGGAGAGTTAGCACCATCACTCCTAGACTCAGTGGTTGTTAACTGCGTGTTCTCTTTATAATTATTCATAAAATGCTGATGTTTATGTTTAATGCACTTTTCATATATGTTGCATGTTGTTTTACATATAGGCAAACACACACACACACACACACACACACACATACAATGCATTTTTCTAACTTTATAGCAACATTCTCTATTCAAGAAAATGCTTCCCAGTTGAACAAACAATAGACGTAAATTTTACTTGTTTGTTTATACACACAAAGCCCAAATTGAGTTCACATGGAACTAGATCTTAGCAGGCATCATTATACAGCTTTTATATTACACATAATGAACGCTGTTTTCTACTTTCTGCTCAAGAGGAAATGCTTATTCCCCAAGTCACAGAGGGGTAGTTAATGCCAGCTGCCCGAGGGATTCATTTCAATATCACAAAGACTGAGAAACTCGCCAGCGTACAACACTGTGTGCAGGAAAAACCTCCACGGGGCACTATCAATGCGGGTAATGTAGCATGGGAAAGACCCGGGTGGGAAATCTGCCCGTGGACTCATTGGGCTAGAAAGTGATGATTAAAATAGTGTCTCCCACTTCTATTAACATGCAGCAGCCACCCCTGTGGGGTTTAACTGCATCCTATTCTCTCCTCCACTAAAAAGAAAATGAGAAACCCAATGCACAGGACCACAAAACTCTTACTTGTGTCATTAAAACTTTTTCTAGGCTAATTTTCTTGTGCAAACAGTTTAAACAAAGCACTCACACTATTCAAAAGTGGGGAAATGGTCCCTTTTTCAATTCATTTACAAATTACTGCTTTTCAGTTTAAGAAACAGAGGTCATGTGATTTTTAGGAAAAATAGGGGTCTGAATAGGGACCTAAAATTCATCCAGTCATCATAACCTGCCCAGCATCAATTTTATAATCTGTAAAATGAGTTTGATCATACTTCTCAGACCTTAGCCTACATTACAGTCACCTGGGAGACTTAAAATACACATTGACTGATTCAGTTTCTCGTTCAAAGGGACAGGGGCAGCCTGAGAACCTGAATCTCTAATAAGCTCTCAGGTGATGCTGATGCTACTTGTATGGTATAGTATGTTGTATGAAGAATCTATATCTGTCATTTGTTTGTATATAATAGAACTGTCAAATAAAAACATGACACCTACTGAATATAAAAGCATGCCGAATTTCAGTTTCATTTGACTAAATTGAAGAAAAACTATTGAATGACAAGAGCCACCAACTCCTAAAAAGTGTCCTAAGCATCAAATTTTACCTTATACAAGTAAAAGGTCTCTAGTTATTCAGAAATGTAAGCAGCCACTGAAATTGTTTCATTTGCTGCAAAATATAGGTTTAAACAAATTTGCTGTACTTTATAACCTTTACATTCTACTTTATAACGTCTTTAGAAAAGCAAAAGAAGGAAAATTTTTGTTCTCTCACTTCAGAGCTCATCCCACAATAGAAAGGGTATTGGGGTCCACAAAGGCTTGTGGGCTTCCTGGACTAATGGAAGAACAATAAACTAACATACCCCCTTTATTCTCAAGGTACACAATGCCCATCCTTAGGAGATCACACTCCTAGCCCCGCTCCCCCCACCCCCTCCCAATATATCCAATTGAAGTGTTGACAGATGATAAACTTCCCTTTTCTCAGTACTCATAAAGGTGAATCAACAGTAATCAAGAGTTTATTTTTGACATTTTGAATAAGTGATGAGAGAATTGAGATAAGCAAGCTAAGGAGTGACTATAATTGACTCTGCTGTTGACTATTCAGCAGAAAGATTTTAATCCATCAGCTACAAGCACACTGTGAGGTACATGAGCCATGAAATGCACTGCAACCTCAAGGAAGAATACAATTCAAAACTCAAGTCTTTTCCAGAATACCTATTTCAGTGCTAAATTCCATTAGCTGCCAGTATAATAACATGCTTCAGATTCACACAATATATAATCAGAGCAGCAATTACAGTCATAAACATTTCACAAGGAAGATATTAATGGCTGGATGTGTATGTGGGGGGGGGGGGAGTGATATCCATAAGTTGTTCAATCTCCATTTACCAAAAGTAGAAGACATTAATATGTTTTACTGGCAGTTAAACCTCCCTAAAATGCTCAAAATTGAAAAGCACTATCTTCTAGTCCTCACAGTGGAGGGATTTAATTTAAAGAGAAGCATAGACAACTCATTGTTCTTAGCTTTAGCCCACCTCCAAGGAAGAGAAAAATGTATGTGTAGGTACTTTTCCAAATAAAACACCCCTGTGCTCTGCTTCACTTGGTCTGGTTTCCTTTGTTCCCTTGCCTTGATTTCTGTCTTCCCCTCCACAATCTGCATTCGAGTCTCAGTGTATGAAACACCAATGGAAATGAGATTATCAATAACAATCACACCAGAGAAAAGAGAACAGCAACACATCCGAATTTCTTTAAACAAACCTAGCGTAAGTGTAGTGCAAATTTCATCGAACAAGGAGGCAGAAAACTTAACTTGAAATTGTAATTTGTAATCTACGCATTATTAAGCAAGTCACCACAGATGTCTGTGCCTTCTATGCTAGTTTGTCAAAGAGAGATGCAGATGCCAGCAACGCCTTCCTCATTGGGCGGCTGTTAAATCAACTGGGATAGTAAACTAACATCTCCACTTAGCCAGTAGGGAGAACTACAGACAGATACATTGTGAGGCTTATGATATTTCCAATTCCAAGTGAGAGAGAAGAGATCCTAGTAGAAAAGCCAAAAACAGGTAGGTAAAGAATCTAACCAATTGGCCCTAACCGGTTTGGCTCAATGGATAGAGCATCAGCCTGTGGACTGAAGGGTCCCGGATTCGATTCCAATCA